CCAGTAAGTTATCACGGCTGGTTATAAAACAGACCCAATAGTATAGTTTTACAAATATTTTTAATACAGTTTACTCTGAAGAATTAGCTCCCTCTAAATTCGCGGTATGGTCATCCAGTCCATGTTTACTTAGCCAAACCATGACAACCACAAGTGATATTTATTATTTAATTTTTTCTTTTGCCTGGTAAAAATAACAACTTTTTTAATTCGTGTTCGTACATTATTACCACATATAAATTCCTATGTTTTTCATATTAAAGTTAAAATTGATTTAATCGAAAACGCTTCGTTATTTACGGAAGCAATTATTTAATTCTTGTCAAAAGTAGAAGAATATGCAAAATTAAATAAAGGATATGGGGAAAAAAAAAGAGAACATTTGCGATTGAGTGCTAGCTCGCGTGCCTATGTTCCTTAAATCAGTGGTTCTCAACCTTCCTAATTCTACGACCCTTTAATACAGTTCCTCATGTTGTGGTGACCTCCAACCACAAAATTATTTACGTTGCTACTTCATAAATAATTTTTTTGTCCATGTGTAATGGTCCTTCGACCCCTCAAAGGGGTTGTGACCCATATTTTGAAAACCGCTGCCTTAGATTTATACACGAATCTTTTTATCAACTGTAGAATCATTGAATTGTTTGGAAACCTCGTTAGTGGAGACCGCAGACTATATTTCAAACGCCTGCCACTTCTGACGCCTTCGACTATGCGCACACATTTCTCGTGTGTTTCATTTTTATCGCGTTTATTTCTCACATCAGTCCAGAATATTTTTGATATTTTATGCATCAGTAAAATAAATATTCCTATATTTGTTCCTTTATTTTGATTTTATTCTTATATAAAAGACAGCCTTTTTAAATTTTTTTATTTTGCCATAATTTTAATCTGTAAATTATCAACAAAAGAATAATTTTTTTTAACCACGAATGCTTAAAAAATCTATTAACTTAAAAGTATTCAGTAAGTTGTGCTTGGCCTTCCATTGATTTGAATCAAATCCCCCCCCCCACCCCTAAATATTCCTTCCCCAAATCATACAGTTAGGACCGATGGTCATTCTAAGCCAATTGGTCGGTAGGGTTGTGGATTTTAAATCACCTTTTCTTATCTCCCCATAATAATTTTTTTTAACCCCGAATGCTTAAAAAATCTATTAACTTAAAAGTATTCAGTAAGTTGTGCTTGGCCCTCCCTTGATTTTAATCCAATCCCCCCCCCCACCCCTAAATATTCCTTCCCCAAATCATACAGTTAGGACCGATGGTCATTCTAAGCCAATTGGTCGGTAGGGTTGTGGATTTTAAATCACCTTTTCTTATCTCCCCATCACTCACCACCTAACCCCCCCCCCACCTCTGTCCCTTGACCTAGTGTTCTTTTTTTCAGGTTTTCCCATACTTTGTTTCGCTGATGTCTATTTTTCTAACCCCAATGCAGTTCTTTATCCCCTTAACAACCATTTTTACATTATACCTGACTGCTACTTTTTGTTCGTTTGCTACTAAATTACCAAAATCTAACATCCATAAAGGTAAAATGTTACACTGTATTGCTCTTTAGTTCGTGTCTGTATTGAACAAGTTTGTGTTATCGCAGAGTTTTACGGCTGAAAGGCTAAGCAATGTCCCCATTGTGCCAACACACTATTTTTAACGTATTTGATTTGTGTTCCTGAAGGCGTTTGCGCGGCACACCTGGAATTGCCCCCAAAGCACACCAGTTTTTCGCGACACTTTGTTAAGGTCGCTCTGTTAATCAGCTGCCCATTTCCATACCTTTGTTCAGCCTCCGACGGCTAGCAAGCGTGCCATCGATTGTGTAACATCTGGTAGGACTTGTTATAATGAACTGGAACTCAACAGCATCGAGATAAATTTGGATTCAGTTAAATTTCGAGTAAAAGGAAATGTCAAGGTGAAAAAAGTACAATGAAAACACTTAGTCGTTGGCATTGGTGCGGTGACATTGGCGCGTTGACATTGGAGCGGTGACATTGTTGCGGTGACATTGGTGCGGTGACATTGGTGCGGTGACATTGGTGCGGTGACATTGGTGCGTTGACATTGGAGCGGTGACATGTATACGATGAGTTTAATACGGCTATATTAGTACTGCGACATTAGTACTGTGACATTGGTGCGGTGACATTGGTGCGGTGACATTAGTACTGTGACATTGGTGCGGTGACATTGGTGCGGTGACATTGGTGCGGTGACATTTGTGCGTTGACATTGGCGCGTTGACATTGGAGCGGTGACATGTATACGATGAGTTTAATACGGCTATATTAGTACTGTGACATTGGTACGGTGACAGTAGTACGATGACATTAGTACGATGACATTGTTACGGTTTTACGGTGGCATTGGTGGTTTACATGTCTAAATACAAGAAAGGAAAAGGGTTTTCTTTTGTCTTTTGATTTTAACAAAAAAAATCCTTGTAATAATAATAAAGAATATGTTCGACGAAGAAAGGGAGAAAGACAACCATAATTAACTACTCCATCTAAAATATTCCCAATCGTTTCCCTTTTTACCAAAAATTTCAATTGCGTTGACAAGAACTCGGCATGGACGATAAATAAATGGCATATTGGCTTACTTTGAGAATGAAATTTTCCTTATATTTTTTCATGTCTGAAAAAATGTTGGTGTACGGATGATAAATCCAGTGTAGGTGGTTACATGAAGAAAAGTACATTTGTAACAATTGGACACTTGTAATAAAACTTGGTTCAAAATTCACGTTTTGGACTCTCGATATTAATCGGTTTTGTAAGGAGTACGCTTAAGGCGCCCTGTCAGATGGCTCAATAAAAATTTAGTATATTCTAGGTACATAAGGTCCCACGATCTCACTTCAGCTTTGCGATGAGACATGACAGCTGATATACGTAAGCGTAAGAATGAATTTACTTTTATTTATATGTATCATTTCTTTGATCTGTCATAGGGTTCAACAATAATAATATAATATACAATGACTTCCATTTAATTAGTGAAGTAATGGTGACGATGGGGTGGTTAATAAATATGGAATGGCTATTAGGATAGGATTATTTCTTTTCAAAAAATGATATGCGTACATTGGTATTTGGAAGAACAAAACTCTGAGCATCAACCAATGCTTACATCTTAAGTCCGNTATATATATATATATATATATATATATATATATATATATATATATATATATATATATATATATTGCGTTGTGTTAATAAGTTAGGGCTACATGGTATTATTAACACAACGCAATTTATGGCTAGGGCTACATGGTATTACTGTTTATATAACCTTTCAACTTTGATGTACTCGTTATCGCTACTGGCCCATGCTTGCACTTTTCACTTCTGTACATTGTGTGGAACACATTAATTGCTGTGTATAGATAATTCCGGAATTGGGATACCTGGACCAGGACTTAAGGTATTGCATAAAAATTCCTGGACTCGGTACCTGGACAAAACAAACAGCACGCGGCTCAGCCCTAGAGATCGATATCAAAACAACGCCGTTATCGTACAGACGTTCTCGCAGGTGAACCAGTCAGCCGTGACATATTTGCTACGTTCACTCTGGTCGTCTCTGCGCTGATATCAAATGTTATTTCTTTGTGAATCGGATGTACGGTGTGTGGCTTCAATGTTTGCTTAAATTCTCTTCACAGGTGTATCTATATATCTTCGTATTTCTGAAACTAAAGATCCATGAAATGTTTCTAGAGTTGAAAGGCCATATTTAAATAATGCGTAGAATGATATGTCAGCCTTGACCCTGACTGTCTGATTGGTTAAACACACGTTTTCACCTTAAGTAAGGGACTCGAAGGTGAAGCTAAGTAAAAGTCTTTAAAAGACATCTTTATTATTATTATTATGATGGCGTAATGTATCAAACTAAGACTATCAGAATAGCAAAAAATGCGGATGATTTTTATTTTATTATATTTGAATGATAGCAATTCTTTATAATACAAATATCAACAAAATGAGGCAAATAATTAGGTAGTAAACAAATAAAATGTACATGTTTTGGCAATATTTTATAGATTTTTTTTTTGAAAACTTAATATTAGTGAAACATTGTTATGATAAGTTATTGTTATTACAATAGTTATTTTTTAAAGACATATATTGTCTATCAGTGTAAGAGAATTATGAATAAAGCAAGTACTTTGACACGATCTCAGGCAGGAAACAACAACAAAAAAATGATGAAGAAATGTGTCAAATGGATAAAGATTTAGTAACAGATCAGTTCGTACAATGCACGCAATTTATTACCAGACCAAACATTTAATCAATGTCTCTTCAATCGTTCGTGGCGGCTGTGAATGATTCCATAACAACACCACAGGCAACATTAGACGGTGTTTAGAAACTGGTAAATATGAATAGAGACGCTGAATTCACACAACACAGTTTTAAAAAACTATGAAAGACATGGGGGGGGGGGGGGGGGTGTGGCGTTGCTATAATGATATGATTAAGTTGTTTTGGGGTCAAGGCAATTAAACATTCATTTTAGAAACTCGGGGGGGGGGGGG